CAGCCACAGTGTGTGAATGAACCGTCATGGCCGCACTCCCAGGGAGCTTTGTTTACAGATTAGACTGTGTGGGCTTGTAGGTTGCTGTCCCTCACAGATTTGCCTTACGTGTATGTTTATTCAGTCATGGGAGGAGGAGTTTTACATTCTCCCAGCTGTTAACCGTATGTTTATTTTCTTCTCTTTAATTTTCATAGTTTTTGCTTCGTGTATTTTGAGGCTCTGTCTTAATACATGCTTATGATGGTTATGTTTTCCTAATGAATTGACTCTTATCATCATGTAATGTTCCTTTTATCTCTGGTAATATTCTTTGTCTTGAAATCTACTTTGATATTAATGCAGTTGTTCCAGCATTTTATAATTACTGCTTACATGACATATCCTTTTGCTTTCAACCTGTATGGGACTTGCGTTATATTTAGTCTAATACTCTCAGTGTTTTAATTGGAATTAGTTCATATATATTTAAGGTAATTATTATTATTATTTTTTTTTTTTGAAACGGAGTTTCACTTGTTACCCAGGCTGGAGTGCAATGGCGCGATCTCGGCTCACCGCAACCTCCGCCTCCTGGGTTCAGGCAATTCTCCTGCCTCAACCTCCTGAGTAGCTGGGATTACAGGCATGCGCCACCATGCCCAGCTAATTTTTTTGGATTTTTTAGTAGAGACGGGGTTTCACCATGTTGACTAGGATGGTCTCAATCTCTTGACCTTGTGATCCACCCGCCTCGGCCTCCCAAAGTGCTAGGATTACAGGCTTGAGTCACTGCGCCCGGCCTAAGGTAATTATTGATGTGGTTGGATTTAGCGCTGCCATTTAACATTTTTTCCAATTAAATTTTGTGTTTTTGCTCCCTCTGTTTTTTGTTTGTTTGTTTGTTTTCCTGTCTTTGTGTGTGTGTGTGTTGGGGGGGTGGAGATAGGAGACTTTTTTAGGATTCTCTTTTAATTTTTCTGTTGACCTTTTTTTTTTTTTTTTTTTTTGAGATGTAGTCTTGCTCTGTCACCCAGGTTGGAGTGCAGTGGCGCAACCTCAGCTCACTGTAACCTCCGCCTCCTGGGTTCCAGTGATTGTCTTGCCTCAGCCTGCCAAGTAGCTGGGACTACAGGCACACGCCACCACACCTAGCTAGCTAATTTTTATATTTTTAGTAGAGACGGGGTTTTACCATGTTAGCCAGGCTGGTCTTGAACTCCTGAGCTCAGGTGATTCACCTTGGCCTCCCAAAGTGCTGGGATCACAGATGTGAGCCGCACCTGGCCCTCTATTGACTCTTTAACTGTATCTGGTTGCACATGTTTTTTAGTAATTGCTATAGGGGTTGTAATATATATCCTTTGCTTTTCACAATCTCCTTAGAGTTAACACTGAGCCACTTTGCATAACCCGTAGGAAACTCATAGGAAGGTGGTTCTGCTTACTCCAGCGCTTTGTGACCCGTCTGCCATATTTATGAAATCTACAAATGTGGTAAACCAGTAGTATAATGTTAGAATTTTTGCTTTATTTTTAATTTAAAAAAAAAATGGTTTTTGAAGAGACAGGGTCCTCACTGTGTTGCCCAGGCTAGTCTTGAACTCCCAGGCCCAAGTGATCTTCCCGCTTTGGCCTCCTAAAGTGCCGAAATTAGAGGTGTGAGCTACCATGCCTGGCCAGAAGTTTTGCTATAAATAGCCCTGAATATTTTCTTTTAATTGATACAAGCAAAAGAGACAGTTTTGATATTTATTTGCATATTTCCCATTTTTAGATAGTGGTCTTTGTTTCTTCCTGAAGATCCTGATTTCTCTCTGGTATTATTTTTTTCATCCTGTAGAACTTTACGTAGCTCTTCCTGTATTCCGTATTTGGTGGCAACAGATTGATTTTCGTTTGTCTTAAATTTGTCTTTATTTCACCTTTATTCTGAAATACATTTTTGCTGGGCGTGGAATCCTAGATTGACTTAATTTCTTTCAGGTGCTTGAATGGCAGTGTTCCATTGCCGTCAGCCGCTGGCGTTCTGAAGTCATTCTTTGCACTGTTCTCTTGGATGGAACAAGTGCTTTTCTCCTGAGGCTTTCACGGTTTCCTCTTAATTTTTGGCTTTCAGTCATTTAATTGTTACATACCTAGATGTATTTGTATGTATCGTGGTTAAGATCCTTTGAATTTGAACTTGTAACCGTGTGTCTTTTAGTACACTGCGTGGCTGTTGGGACTCTCCTTTCCTACAGGTTCCTGAGGCTTTTGTTTTCCAGGTTTCTTGTTCTCTGTAAGTCGGATCAGATGATCGCTATTTTCCTGGCTTTGTATTCACTTGTGATTTCTTCTGTTACGTCCAGTCTGCTCTTAAACCCACACATCGAGTGTAGTGATTTTACCTGTTGATATTTTTCTAGGTCCAGAATATCCATTCGTTTCTGTGTTATCCTATCTTTCTCTTTTGAGGGTTCACTGATGATGCTTTTAATTCCCTTTTCATCTGTGAAGATATTTCTAATAACTGCCTGAAACCCTTGTCTCTGTTTCTGACGTTGGGGTCATCTTGGGATCCTCACAGCAAGCCACTGAGCTGGAGGAATGTCATCCTTTTATCGTTGAGAAAACTTAAGACATAGAGATTCAGTGACTTATCCAAGGTCACTCAGTTAGAAGTGACAGTAGGGACTTTAGCTCAGGCTGTCTGACCCCAGAGCCCACATCTTAGCTGCCTTTGTGACTGACAGAAGGGGCCCTGTTTTTGTCCTATGCAGTCCTGTCCTCCGACTCCACAGCCCTCAGGTTTTCCTTTGCATCGCGATGTCTCTCCACACTATGTCCTACACTGCCTAGGGAAACTTACCAAGTGGGGGAGGTAATGTGGATAGGTCCATGGATTTTCTAGCCCATGTAGGTTGCTGTAATACACTGTGGAGAAGATGAATCTGTGATTAAGTCCTGGAGCTTTTTTCTGTAATTCTGGATTCTCAGATATCTCAGTGTTAGAAGTAGCTGTTTGCCTAGAGCATGAGTGTCTGTGGCGGGCGGGGGCCAACGTTACCACGCTGAGAATCGGCAGTGCAGGCGGTGTTGTGGGCATGGCTCCAGCAGCCTCAGCCTCACGGCACAGGGACAGCATGAAGAAACCCTGAACAATTTCCCTGTGGACCCTCACTCACCCAGGCTCCTACCAGCAGGGGCAGCTGCCCTCACTCTCTGTGTGATTTCAGCACAGCCTCTAACACATTATCTTCTCACTCATTAGCTTTGACCGAATAGTTCTTAGGATGGGAAAACAGGTTTTCCTTTACAGTGCATTTTCAGAGGCTTAAGATGCAAGTGACAGGATGAAGCATGTGTACTGGCATGATAAAGTGGAAAGAGTAATGGTTTATCATAGCCGGGAAATAGCCAGCACTGCCCACGTGCTGGGCACTGTTCCAGGAGCTCCGTGGATGTGATCACATTTTAATCCTCACAGCAAGCCACTGAGCTGGAGGAATGTCATCCTTTTATCGTTGAGAAAACTTAAGACATAGAGATTCAGTGACTTATCCAAGGTCACTCAGTTAAAAGTGACAGTAGGGACTTTAGCTCAGGCTGTCTGACCCCAGAGCCCACATCTTAGCTGCCTTTGTGACTGACAGAAGGGGCCCTGTTTCTGATTCCTTAACAACCTACCTTTGGGAACATTTAATCTCCCTGGTGATTTGCTCTGCCTCTGTTTCCCGCTCTGCCCATCTAGACACTAGTCACAGTTCATGCCCTGTCCCCTCACTGCCACCTTTTTCCTGTGGCCAAAGAGCCCTTCTCAGCTAAGTGCCCAGCTCATCAGTCACAAGTAGAGAGACCTGACCTGTCAACCAAGTGGTGATGACCTTTGTGGATCTGATTCATTGTCCAAAACCTATTTGCACTGGAATGGGATGAGGGCAGCAGGTAGGGATAACTAAGAACAGATTCTGAAGAAAGGATCAGGGAAACAGTACCTGGCACGTGAAGAGAAAAAAGAAAACGCACAAGGGAATCTCAAGAGGTGAAAACCCACAGCTTCCTCTTGCCGTGTCCTGCCTTTACTGAGCCTGCCTGTCTCTGCAGCTGACCGTATAAGCAGCATTTGCACCTGGACCCCAGAAAGCTTCGTGCCAGCTTCCTTGGGGTGGGTGAAGATGGATCTTGCCAGCCTGGTGGTGCGGGGTCCTCGGGTCCTGTTGACGTGTGCTGACCAGCATGTTGGACACTCCTGCCCTGCTGACGGGGCCTCACTCTCTTGATTGCCTTCTACAAGAGCAGAAGTTTTAGAGCTATGGGACGTACATCCCAAGAAAGAAGGAAAACATTTTACCAAAAAGATACGGCAGCTTTAATTTTAATTTTAAAAACTAAATTTTAGGATTACTTTGGTAAAACCATGAAACAGAAGGAGGAGAAGGGGGATAGGCTAATGCAGGGGCCCGTGGCCCCCAGGCTGGGAACCGGTACTCATTCACGGCCTGTTGGGGACCGGGCTCACAGCAGGAGGTGAGCTGCAGTGAGCAAGCGAAGCTTCATGTGTATTCACGGCCGCTCCCCATCACTCATTCCCGTTAGAGCTCTGCCACCTGTCAGATCAGCGGCCACATTAGATTTTCATAAGAGATCGAACCATATCGTGAACTGCTTATGCGAGGGATCTGGGTTACGTGCCCCTTAGGACGATTTAACGAATGCCTGTGGATCCGAGGTGGAACAGCTTCATCCCGAAAGCATCCTCACTCCCCTTCCTGGTCCGTGGGAAAATGGTTCCAGGAAAACAGTCCCTAGTGCCAGAAAGGTTGGAGACCGCGGGGCTAATGGATTGAAATTGTGAGGTTCTATGTATGGTGTTGCTGGTGGTTTTTTTTTTTTTTTTTTTTTTTTTGGTCTGTTTTAGGCCCCAATGCCATTTCAGTTTTCCCAACGTCATGCCATGTTCTAATCAGAAAAGGAAAGTGTTTTGCAAACTCTTCATTGAAGCCGTCTTTTTAGCACTGCTTTGTTTTTCATTTGCCCAGGTCTTTAAGGAGGAGAAGTACTTGAAAGAGGCCATGGAGTGCAGCGATGTGATTTGGCAGCGCGGTCTGCTGCGGAAGGGCTACGGGATCTGCCACGGGACTGCTGGCAATGGCTACTCCTTCCTGTCCCTTTACCGTCTCACGCAGGATAAGAAGTACCTCTACCGAGCTTGCAAGGTGAGGGCGGCTCTGCTTAACTGCTTCCGAACAAAGCCGAGCGTGCAGAGTCTGGAAGTACAACTCCTGTTCCTTCTTTTAGCCTGGTTCTCCCAGCTCTGGAGCTTCCTCCTGTTCTTCCGGCACAGCCTTGTCTGTGGCTTCTCTGGGCCATAGTGTCCCTGTCTGTGGAATGGGGAGCACACGTCAGTGGCTTCTGAAGAATATACGTCCTGGAGTCACTCCCTGACTAGAATTACCACCTGTGCCATTTATTCGTTTATGAGTTTGGACATGTCTCTTCCTCAAGCCTCAGTTTCCTCATTTGTACAGACAGAAAAAAACTATGACGCACCTCCTAAGGGTGTTCCAAGCAGAACTGAGCTGATCTGCCAGAACCCTCTGGTGGCTTCCCATCGACTGTAGATGGAGCCCATGCTCCTCCGCCGGGTTGACAGAGCCCTGTGCCCGGGCGCTTGTCTATGTCCCCACCTGGTCTCCTCACCTCACCTTGCTCTCTAACCCGCCACACGACAGCCACACCACCCCTCTAAGAACGGAGTATGTCACTCCTGTTTCTGCTGGGCTTGTCTTAACCATCCCCGCAGGAATGCTCTTCCCCTGCCAGGTGGCTCCTTACCATGCGGATCAGAACTGTGACGTTCTCAGAGGGACCTTTGAGACCCCCGAAGTGGATGGTCACTCAGTTGCTCGTTGCATGTTTTTGCTTGTTTCTTGAGAGTGTGGCTGGTAGAGCATAAGCCCCTTGATCTTGTTTGTCTGGGTCACTGTTCTACACTAGCACCTGGCGCAGTGTATAGCACCGAGTAGAAACTCCGTAAACGTGCACTGGACGTGTCAAGATGAGTGGCACAGAGCAGGACTTAGTAAGCGTTAGCTAGTATTTTTATTATGTGCACATTTCACAAAGTATAGTTGTGTGCACACAGAAAAGTTTGGAAGAAAATGCACCAAAGTGTGTACAGTGCCCTTGATAGAGGGAGGCACAGCAGCTGATGTTTCTTTATCCCTTTCGAACATCTGCTGCTTTAGAAGCCTTTTCTCAACCCAAGCGGAATGGGCCCCCCTTGTTGGTGTGCCGGAAGTGCACACACAACACAGCGTCTGTGGCTCCCCTACTTAGGGAAGCCTGGGGGAGGCTGGGGAAGCAAAGAGGGCATCCTGGCAGGGCGGCTCAGCGAGGGACATCTCGGGCAAGACCTGAAGGAAAGCTTGAAAGTAAGCGAAGGGGGAGGAGGAAAGATGCGCAAAGGAGAAGACGCTGCTGTTCCCAAGGCCCGGAGGTGTGAGCGCCCAGCGCCTGTGCCAAGCGCACCGTGGCCGGAGCCCGGGGGTGGGGCAGAGCAGGAGCCCGCGAGCTGGGAACAGCGAGATTCCGCAGGCCTGGGCCGGCCTCGATGATGTGATGATGGGACATGATTATGCAAACGTGGGCAACGCCAGAGGACCGCACGAGGGCTGAAACACAGCCAGTTTTTTTTAAAGATGAGGGGTTTTTCCAGTGGGCCAGGCAGGGGTGGCCGGCAGAGGTGGAATGCAGTTCTGATGAGAAGAGCTTGGGCGGAGCCGCCCAGCGTGAACCAGCTCAGTGTGTTCCTGATGCCGCAGGCACTTCAGCCTTTGGGATGCAAAGGGAAGGAAAGATGTGGCGAAAGGTGGAGTCAGACAGGTGGGCAGAGTCCTTCCCTGTAGCCAGTTGTTCTCAACCTTGTACCACTGGGAAGCTTTCAAATCATGCCTGGATCTCACTCGAGAGCAGTTAAATGAGGAAGCCTCAGCACTAATAGTTTTCAAGCTCCCCCGGTAATTTTAATCGCTAGCATTGGATACTGATTTGGAAGATGGGGGGTCATGGAAGGGTTTAGAATCCATATTCAGACTCCTCTTTTAGAAAGGTTACTGTGGTCCCAGTGGGAAGAATGAGGCGGGCTTGGGTTTCTGCAAATTGCAGTTTAGTAATTCATGCAAGAAATGTTGAGTCATAAACCAAAGCTTGGTTGGGATAACGGATGAGACATTTAGAAACACCTAGGATGTAAAGCCCACAGAATTTAAAGCATGTTTTCAAATGTGGAAAGATGGAAATATCTGAATGTCTTCCTGTTGTCTGACTTGGAAAACTGGGTAGGTGGGCCATCAAACAAGCTAAGAGGGAGCGGTTGGGAGGGTAAAAGCAGAGCAGGTTTCATTTCACAAGTGCTGAACTTGATACTCCTCATGTTTATTACCTAGGATTCTTAGTATACAAATGACCCTTCAAATTATGTTAGCTGCGGCAAAAAAGGGAAGTGTATTAAAACGATAGGGAAACACCCAGTGAAGAGGTCTCAGAAGAAAGGGTCAAGGAGCTCAGAGGAGAGCGCAGGGAGGGCTGAGGAGCTGTGAAGGCGGGGAGGCTGCGGTGAGAGGCGGCGCCCCAGCCAGGGCTGAAGCTGCCTGTTTCCCAGCTGGGGCCAGGGGAGCCCGCAGCCGCTGCTGAGGGCTGTTTCAGAGCCAGGGTTTTTTGTTTAGGATAGAGCAGGCATTTCAAGTTGCTTCTGGAATCATTAGCTGAAGGGGCAGGAGGCAGGTGCAAGGGAAGACAGAGTGTCACTGAGTCATTCAGTTTCCACCTCGGACTTCCCAGCAGCCGTAAGGCAGACCCCACCTACAGCTGACGCAGCGACAGGCGGAGGCAAGGGGACTTGCTGAGCCTCACCCCCGGAAGAGGGGGCGCGGGAGCCCACACTGAATGCCCTACAGCTGGGGCCCACTTTCCTGATTGCTGTGAAGACGCTGCATTCTCACTTGTTGCCTTTTCGCCAAGTAGAAACTCCAGTCTTAAAAAGAAATCCCTTTCTTTTCAGTTTGCAGAGTGGTGTCTAGATTATGGAGCACATGGGTGCCGCATTCCTGACAGACCCTATTCGCTCTTCGAAGGTAAGAGGGAGAAAAATGCGATGGTTTAAACGTTTGGACAGGTGAAATTGGTCCTCCTGTCCTTGTGGACTGGCCCTGTTCACATTTGACCTGGCTCAAGTAATATTTCCAAACTGTAAAGTAACAGTCAGCAAATTAGCTTATTGCTGAAAATTCTGTCGGCTCTCTCAACCTTACCTGTTTTTTGCTCCTGTGAATGTCTTCCAAGTGTTCTTAGATCTTTTGTGAGGTGTCTGTGCAGACAGAACACAGAAGTCTTGCTGTTAGCAATGGAAGAAAGAGTTCCCTCCTCCGCATTTCATCTGTAATGTGGCGTATTTAATATTGGTGTAATCAGAGGAATAGATCTAATATAAAGAAGTGTGAATAATATTAGCAGTTAGAAATATTAGTAATTAGAAAAAATAGCAAGTGTGAATATTGAAGAAAGTTCTGAAAAGAAGAGCAATGATAGGCAGTCAGTGAAAGCAGCAGGAGTTCCCCCGAGTCCACTGTAGGCAAGCAAAGGGAAGGTGAGACAGGAGCGCAGACCCAGGTCCCGTAAACAGACACGGATATTTGTTAGATTTCTCTGTGGGTGTGGGCGTGCTTTCTGGTTTTTGCATTTATATTCATGAAGGATATTGACCTACAGTTTTTCTGTTTTGTGCTTTCTTGGTCTGGTTTTGGTATCAGGGCCATACCGACCTAATGAACCGTATTGAGAAGTATCCTCTTGTGTTTTCTGGAACATACTGTGTGTTAATTGGTGGAAGAATTGGTATTAATGTAACTTAAATGTTTGGTGGAATTCTCCAGTACAAACTTCTAGGTCTGGAGATTTATTTTTCTGGACTTTTAAAACAAATTCAATGTTTAAAATAATGATAGGGCTGTTGAAGTTACCTATTTCCCGTTGGGTGAGTGGCCGTCATTTGCAGTTTTTGAGGAATGGGTTCACTGCGTGCACGTGGTGAAATGCATGTGCGTGAGCTGCTGGCTGTACTCCCCCACCGTCCGCTTGACGTCTCCATCGTCTGTAGTGGTATGTCCTGTTGTAGTTTTCATGTTGGCAATATTTTTAAATCACATTTTAGAAATATGAGCAGGAAACAGAGCATGTATCAGCTCTTTTGCAGAAAATGATCTTTTTAATATTGAAAGGAATCGTAAGGAAAAGTATTTATTAGAATAAAAGTTTTAGTACTCTGTCATAGAAACGCAGTGCATTTACATCAGATGTAACCGAGTTAATGCCTGAACTCTAAATGCAGTTCATTAAGTTTATAATAGCACGTCCAGAGCTCCAGTGTGGCTTTGGATGTACAGCTCCCTACAGGCGGGGAGTTAATAGGCCACTCCTTCCCCTGTGCCTTGCCAGTGCCTGCCAGACAGAACTGTGGGGACCCTCACCAAATTCCCGTCGGGGGGCAGAGGGACCATGAGGCTGTGTGCCTAGCAGTGCAGCCCACTGTGGCAAACTGGCCGGCTGGAGGAACCACCGGGGCTCTCTGGCACCTGGCACCCCTTCCAAAGGAGCTCACTCCTGCCGTGAGTGCACCGCCCAGCAGGTCCGCTGCCCACACACCCAAGCAGGAAAGGCAGCTTAATCCCCACAGGGCCTGCGGTAGGGCTTCCTGTGGTTGTTATGGGTCCCTGTTTACTTCTCATGGTCAGTGGTTTTCTAATTTCTTAAAAATAAGTTTCTGGAACCCTTTCTTCAAACAAAAACTTAAAGAGAAGGTTTGAAACACTCAGATGACTTTGAGTAGGAAAAATGGGGAAACAATTTGTGACGTGCTGTTCGCCTGTAAGAAGGGGCCAACTATGAACACGTACAGAATGTGAATGAATCGCAGGAACCCTGATGACGGAGCCAGATACAAGGGCCGTACTCTGTAGCCACACTCATAAGAGTGCCAAAGCAGGCCGAACTCATCCGTGGTGGACCAAGACCAGGCTGCCACTTACCTCTGGGGGGACCACAGGGCGGGAGGGCTGGAGAGGGGTACGCAGAACTTCCTGGAGTGGTGGGAATGTTCCAGGTCTTCATCGGGTCTTGTTTGCACAGTGTATGCATTTGACAAAACTCAGAGAAGTACACTTCGCATTTGTGTGTTTCATTGTGCGTGAATTTTACATCACAAGAAAAACTATGAACAAAACTTTGTAAGAGAGAAATTATTCTGATTTGAGTGGGGACAGGAGACCTGGAGGCCTTGGTGGGCTGCTAGCATCTTCCCCACCCCACACCCTTCCCATGCTGCTGTGAGTCTAGTTGAAAACCCTCTGCTTCATTACTGCAATGATTTGGGGTGGGGATTTTGACCAAATTAAGGTTTATTTAAAAAAAAAAATTCTTCAAATATAAAGAAGACATAAAATGCAACTTTGAGCATATACAGGCTCTGAGGGGAAGCTCTGTGTGTAGGAATATCGTAATTAGCAGCATCCATAACTTTCATGGCGATTCTGTGATGTCACCTTAAAGTTTCAAGATATAAGATTAAAGCCCAGTAACCAATTTTTAAAATATAAGATAGCAAGGAAAAGGATATCTTCATTTTTTTAATGAAGTCGTCTTGGGAGTCCTCAGCACCTTTTCCACATGCTTGCAGCCCCCGGTAAAAAGTCAGTGTTAGACACCACCCTTGTGCCATTCCTAAGAGGCTCCTCCTTCTACATTGCAGGTATGGCTGGCGCTATTCACTTTCTCTCCGATGTCCTGGGACCAGAGGCATCACGGTTTCCAGCATTTGAACTTGACTCTTCGAAGAGGGATGAAAAGGTGCAAAAAGACAACTAAAATACCCATTGGGACCAAAAGCCACCAGATTGTTTAGTGCCTGACACAGAAACAACTGGGAATCCTGAAAGAGAAAAAAAGCAGACCCCGTCCCAGGCCCCTCTGTTAGGGCATGAGTGACCGAAGCCATCCATCAGCATTTTGTAAGGGTGCCCTCACCAGTATAAAACATGACTTCTTCACACCCGGATTCTCTGTAGTGTTTGCATGTTTCTCGGTGTTCGTTGTCTCCAGGTGTAAGCTGCTTTAAGTGGAAGGCTCTTCTCTTCATGGGACTCGGAGCTGACCACGCATGAGTATATGGCGGTGTCCACTCTTCCATATAAAATGTATGAAGCGGGATTTCTTCCATATTGTCAAACGAGAGAACAGGTGATGTCTATCCTGTATATCAGAAAGACGATCTGGGGTCTGTCCTAGTGACAATACATTGTCAGCCTTTTCCGTGGCGCCTTCCGGATGAGCATGAGGGAATGAGCACTCCAGGATGGACAGGAGCAGCCGGTGCGCAGGGGCTTGCTGGGGGTGTTTAGGATGCTCAGCGGAACGCTTCCTGTTTGGGCTCTGCGCTCACCTCGGTGTTCTAAAGAAGCCTCTGTGCACTGCAGCTCTGCCAGGGCTCTGTTCCCAGCAGAGGCTGCAGGTGCTCTGTGTAGAGTCCAGGGCAGCCAGAGCCCTGGGGAGGAGACTTCTGGACCCAAAGGGAGCTTTCCCAAGATGCCCTTGGTGGCTACACTGCAGGCAGCAGCGGCTGAGTGCTGGCAGGTACAGAACATTTACCCAGTATCTGCTACTAAGACAGGCTCCACCTCAGTTTATCAGTATGATAAGTTACTGTGATAAGCAGAGTAAGTACATTCCAGATGGGTTATTATAGATGAACAGACACTCAACTGGACTCATGTCCCCGCAATTAAACGTATTTCAACCTTTTGGAAAGTTATCAGATTCTAAATTTGGAATGAATGCATTTCATATTTTTTGTCTACTTTGGGGTGATAAAAAGTATTAGCCCTCATTTATAGACAAGAGAGACATCATGTTCTAACCGACAACATTATGGTATCTGTGTGACATTTTTTAATTTTAAAAATTTAAAACCTTTTTAATTTTAAAAAATGTGCGCAGTAAGCTGGGGTCGCCTACACTCATTAATTCTGTGGTGTAGATTTCAGGTTTTGGAAGGCTTTCTGTCATCCTGGAACAAGTGGTCTGGAACTAAGTACTCAAGTTGTGAGCTAAGGCTTGTGTCGTGAAAGACAAGAGGACTCTCGAGAGCCCAGTCCTTGTCTGCAGGGGGCACTCTGAGCACTTCCCAGCCCGTGTCCACTCCTCTCAGACAGGAGAAAGAAAAACGTCAGTTTAGGAGAAAAGTCTCCTTTTTACGTGTATGGTTGTGTGTGGGGCTGGTATCCTAAATCTGTTACATTCAGCTTCCAAACAATGCCTGGAGAGTCTCTGCTGCAGACACCCTTGCCCCTGAGTCATGATGATTTTCTTTCATGTTAGATTGATGACTTCTGTGAATATAAATCATCCTGGTCTGATTTTACCTGGCCTCCTGGGTCTGCTGATGGGCTTCACAAGCAGTCCAGCAGCCCACACCTGCAGGCAGGATGCTGTCGTCAACGAGCCAAGGGCAGCTGCTTGGCAGAAGACCTTACACGGTGTCCAACCTCATCCAGATGACATTGGTCTCATCCTCCCTGCCCAATTCATCAAAACATAACGCATCACAGAGCTCAGTCGTGAGGTCCTGCCTGCCCGTTTCTCAAGGGAAGCCAGGAGGCAGCACAGGCGGCACGGGGCTTCCAGGGTGGCCCCTCTCAGAGGAGGCGGTGGCTCGTGGTGCAGCCAGGTGTCTGCAGAGCAGCCCAAGGGTGGCCGAGGGGTCCAGGTGTCCCCCCAGGCGAGTCCATCCACACACGTGTTTGAAAAACACTGGTCTTTCTAACACACTGAGGGAAAGACTTTAAAAATCTGTGTAATAAATGGAGGAGATTTTGTTTACAGATTTTTTTTAAAGCCACCAGGGTTGACGCCTTCTTACTTATCCACTAGATGTCAACAGAGGTGCTGTTCTGTGGCTCTGCATTAATCCCTGCCTCTTGTCTGTTACGTGTGCTGCTGGTGACAGTAATTCCAGCTCCGTCCCTGCAGGCAAAGGAGAAACGGGACACACTTCACAGGACAGAGGATTGACAGAAGTCAGTTTAAGAGAAGTGTTTGAGTCAGACTTCAGATATCATTCATTTCTTGGATTTGTGTTCACAATTGTGTTCTCTAAAATGTGTCTAAATTTTAAAAATATGTACATGCATAATATCATCTTAAAATATGAAGGAAAGGATTTGATGTCCACAAAAAGTGTTTGAGGTTCTTTGATTTTGTTAGTAAAAGCCAGTTCTGTGTTGACCTGTGGAATCATCATTTGTTTTCATTTCTCTGTGTTTGAGAGTGACATTGGTTAGGAGCAATGGCGACTCTTCTGAAGGTTGGATTCTTCACTGAAAAACGTGGCAGTTGCTCGCCACACAGTGTTCTAGTGGCAGGTTTCTATGCATGCGTTCTTTTTGATTGCAGCAAGACCTTTGGAACCCCGGGTAAGAACAGCCACATCTATTGAGCTCCCTCCTTATGACGGGCCCTGTGTTTTCACCACAGCACTGGGAGTGGGGACTGTTACTACCACTTTCTCACAGACTACACAGTGCCGGACTTGCCCAGCGTCACTCAGTCCACGCGTGGGACAGTCGGGTCAGACCCACGTGGCGCTCATGGTGCTAAGTTATGCCCATTCCTTCTTCCCCTGCATGCTCGATGCAGGAAGAAAGCCGTGGACACCGAGGAGGGCCGTGCAGCGTGGCCACGAGCACACGGCTAGTGAACAGAAAAGCGGGACCACGCAGGGCCACTTCCTCTGGCCCTGTCATCTCTACTCCCCCACAGTCTGATAGGTGGGGAGGGACGCTATAGCCATTTATTGGAATTGAAACTGCTTTTTAACTCGGTAAGGCAGTTTTCACGTCTGTTGCTTCATTTGCTAACTTTACAAAAACAATGGTCCAGGTTTAAAGTCCAGGTTCCTTAAGACATCTTTACAGACCCTCTCCACTCCCGCCCCAGCTTCTAAGCTGCCCTGTGCTGCAGCTTCTAAGGTGCTCCTCCCTTTCCTGAGCCTCCTAATCTGGCAAGAGGCCCCATGAGATGGGACATCGGTGATCCTCAGGAGGCCTGAGCGTACTACATTGCATGCAGAATTCTGTGTGCATATGAGCACTAACTTGGAGAGAGAGGGTTCCCAGTTTTCATTGGTGCTTCAAAGTGGTATATGACCCAAAGAAGGTAAAGTGTCAGGTTGAGGGGAAGTTGGCAAGCCAGACTTCAGCGCACAGAGCCTGGGGTGCTGCGGGAGCAGATGTGGCAGCAGGACCGGATCAGGAGGCGCCGTCGCATTTAGGAAGACCTCTCCTGTGGCATAAGATGCTGCCAGCAGGTCCTGACGTTTCCACATCAGGGTGTGAAGGAGCCAGGTGTCAAGTCCAGCATGACAGTCTCGTGCCTGTCGGCCTCTTCTCTGCTTCCTGGTACGTGGCTGTAGGCCTGGGAAGTGGCGGTCCAGGCAGCGTAGCCCGCAACCCCGAGTGAGCTGGACGGTGGGCATCTGGAAGACCGTTCCGTCCACTGCCTCTCCTGTCAGAGGCAGGTTCCTTTATGATCCTGTTTCACCCAGGCGGCAGCTCCCCGGAGGTCGATCACCAAGGCACTGGGGCTCAGATTTCTTGGGCTATCCTGAGATCTGTCGGCTTCACAAATCTCACTGTCCCCAGCTCCCTCTCCCGTTTGGAAGCGGGAGGCTTGATTCTTCCGGTCAGCGAATGTGTAGAGTGCATCCACACTGCCAGGATTTGTGCCGAGGGCTGAGAGTGAAACGATGCAAGTCGCCCTGGCTCCTGCGCTCATTCCACATCGCGTCTGCCCGAGGGACCCCTGAGGCACAGAAACAGCCTCGAGCTGAGTTCAGACTCGGGGGCCTCCCTCAGAAGGACCCCAGAGTGCTCCTCCGTGGTGAGGTGAGGACAGCTAGCTTCTGAGTGAAGAATGTCGTATGCCTCTTCCAGCTAACAGCAGGAGGCGGATCAAAGGGAAGTGGGGGTCAGCCCAGACTTGCAGTGTGACACCTTGTGGGCACGAAGGTGAGGGTGGTAGGCCCTGTGGCCAAGGACTGGTCTAGGAAGAAAGTAATAAATCCGTATTTACATTTACAGCCAAGCCAAGTAGGTTAAGAGCAGAGACTCTGGAGCCTGTGAGCTTGTGTTCACCTCTGAGCTCACCTGCTCCCTGTGGGAACTTGGGTGAGTGATTTCCTGAGCCTCCACTTCTTCTCCATAAAATCGGGACAATGGTAATATCTACCTATTTTGGTTGGTGGGAGGACTTAAATGACAATGGCAAAACCCTCTGGCCCGTGTAAGTGCTCTGATGGGGCAGGTGGAGGTGCCTCATTGGGCTCACTCGCCTGCCTCGTGGCGGGAAACCTGGATTCAAAGTCTCATGCCTTAACACAGCCCAGTGTCAGTGTTCTGCCAGGCAGCCCTGGGCTTTCAGACGGCTGTGCATCCGTGTGCGTGTGTGTCTGTGCATGCGTGCGCGTGCCTGTGTGTGTGCGTTTTTGTGTGCATGTGCGCGTGCATGCATATGTGCATTGCTAACTGCCCCAGGGTCCCTCGAGAGGAAAAGATGCTGCAGAAACAAAGATATCCTAATCCACAGTTTCAGGCTTACTCAAAATCCAGGAACTCAGGGAGGCCAGCCTCTCAGCTGCTCTGGTGTTTTCTTGGGCACCCCAGGGAGTTCTCCCTCCTTCTGTGGCCCCCCTCCACCCTCCTCATTACTGTACAAGAGAAACTTGTGGCTTTCATAGGATCATCCAGCAGATGCGGTGCTGCTCACGTGTTGATAAGGATCTTACCTCACTCTTAGAGTATTGCGCATAGGAGAATAAAATGTGTTCCGAGAAGCACAATCACACAGTTACCTGTAAGTGTCAGCCTTTCAGGCCATTCCTAATGGAAGTGGCAGGGAAGTTACCAAACCCTGGAAACAAGGTGTGATCCCCAGCATAAGAGAGGGTGACCTACGCACATCCTGTTGACAAGCCAGAGGTGGCCCGGCCTCTCCCACGACCATCTGCAGCGTCTGCTCCCTCACGGCAGCTGAGGAACTTGTTTTGAGTCCTTGGGTGCCAGAAAGACATCTTGCATCTGCTTGGACACTGAAATCCTAGTTTGCTTACAGGATTCTTGACTGGTGACTTTCCTACTGGAGTCTTTCCTACTGGCATCTCAAGGCACTGCTGTGCTGTCCTGGACCTTCCATTGCTGCCTGGGGGATTTCATTGGAGTTCTTGTTTCTTTGTATGATCTTGCTTTGTAGGACAGCTTTGCAAGTTGTAGGATTTTCTTCTGCTGATACAAGGCCTAGTCCTGGTTCTTAATGGGTCCTTCCAATCTGTAAATCCATGTCTTCCGATTCTGGGAAACTTTCTCGATTTGTGTCTTTCCTGCCCCACCTCTGTCCTCACCTCTTTTTCTTGAACATCTGTTATTTGGATATTAAAGCTCTTCATATGATCCCTGATTTTCTTTCTTCTGTTTTACCCAGTTTGTCTTTTTTACTTTCTGAGAGATTTCAACTTTATTTTCCAGTCCTTCTATTGAATGTTTAATTTTTTTCTTTTCTGAAATTATTTTTCTTTTCAGTGTATCTTTTATACAGTAGCCTATTTCTTTTTTTTTCTTTTTTTTTTTCTGGAGACGGAGTTTCGATCTTGTAGCCCAGGCTGGAGTGCAGTCATATGATCAGCTCACTGTAACCTCCGCCTCCTAGGTTCAAGTGATTCTCATGCCTCAGCCTCCCGAGTAGCTGGGATTACAGGTGCCCACCAGCTTGCCCGGTTAATTTTTTGTATTTTTAGTAGAGATGAGGTTTCATCATGTTGGCCAGGCTGATCTTGAACCCCTGACTTCAGTGATCCACCCGCCTCGGCTTCGGAAAGTGCTGGGATTACAGGCGTGAGCCACCACACCCAGCCCTTGTTTGTATTTCCTGGTTTTGGTGTCTTCGCTCTCTCTCGCTCTCTCAGGATGTTAATTTATCCAACTAGTTAATTTATCTAACTGAATAAGTGCTTACTCAGCACCACACTCTACAGAGGTACTTGGAATCCATCAGTGAGCGGAACAAGTGAAGACCCTCGCTTGAGTGAGTCTGCAGTCTAGCAGTGGGAGACAGACGGTACACCTAAGTGTGCACATTTTCTTACATGTTATAAGGTAATAAATGATATGGAAATAAGATAAAATAAAGCAGGATTGGGGAGACTGATGGGAGGAGGCTCACAGGTGGCTCTTTCAAACAGAGCAGGAATAGTAACACTAAAGGCAGGACTAGGAGAAAGTGACGAGGCTGGCGGACAGAGTGTGGGCTGAGCGTCTCATACAGAGCAGGCGGGAGGAGGCCCGGGGAAGCTTTTCACACACACGGTGGAGACGCAGGCCCTGGAGATGGCCCAGCGGCCTTGAAGGCCATCTTTAGGAGTTTGGCTCCGACCGTGGGTCAAACAGACAGCTATGGAGGGCTGTGGGCAAAGGAAGGTATTACCTGGCTCGTGTTGTAAAGGGATCACTGTGGGAGCAGCAACAGGAGGAGGGAACCGGGCAGCAGGCCCTGGAGGCAATGGCCATGGCTCTGCCGGTGCGGGTGGTGAGCGGGGTCAGAACCTTGAGCTGGAGCCCGCAGGACTTCCTGGCAGTCAGGGGCAGAGAAGAAAGAGTTGTCAGCGATGGCTCCGGCGCAGCGGCAGGTCACCTGGCCCGGGGCCACAGGCTGCGGCGCAGAGGATGGGCTGGGGGGCCGGGCTGAGATGGAACCCGGGTTGTACGCACAACTCGAGGTGGTTTATTAGAGGTGGGCAAGTCTGGAGTTTGGACGGAAGTCCACGATGGAGGTGTCACTTTGGAGTGTCACTTTGCTTGTCGATGTTATTTAAAGGCAGGAAACCTGACGGGTTACCAAGGACGTGAGGGACGTGACGGGAGGGAGCCAGGACGCAGCCGCAGCGGCAGAGAAGCGGAGAAGGTGCGGTCACTGAGGTGGCCCTGGAAGCCTTGTTTGGAGAACGGAGGGGTCACCTATGTCGGAGGCTTCTGGCACGTGAGACGAAGGCCCAGCTCTGGCCGTTGGAGTCGGTGTGGAGGTCCACGGGGAACCCCTCGGTGGCATAGACAGCGATTCCTGGGAGTTTTGTTGCAAAAGACAGGACAGAGAGAGTCGCAGCCGGGGAGCTCAATGGGGTCAAGAAAAAACTTTTAAGTTCAGAGAGATAACAGGATGTCTGTAATTTGATGGGATTGATGTAT